TATTGAATTGCGGCGTGCCTCGTTTGGTGGCAGCACTTGTTCGTGTTCCATAAATGGAAAATATTCAACACCATCCACGGAATCGAGTAAACCTTTTAAAAACTGATATTTTGGTTGATCCAGTGATTTTGAGTATACGTATACGTTTTCGAATCTCAATCCATTGGAGTGCGTTATGAGAGCGAGCAATGCATTTGTCTTGCCGCAGTTTGACGGCCCGCAAAACACCGCGCGTATACTGTTCGGAAGCAATTCACCATGACGTTTCCTCCTCTTTCTCTTCTTAACTCGCGTGAATTCGTCAAAGTTCGGTACAGGTAACTTGATAGATTGTGTCTCAAACCTCATCTTGATCATGACTAATGCGAAAACTATAAATAACAGGTTTATAAAGATCATTGTTCAGTCGGAACTGTTTCACGATAGGGTGAGGACATAATTATGCATGTTAAACGTAAATGCATGGGAAAAAAGAAGCGCCATAGTGGCAAGGGCTTAGTCAACAAAATCATCAATAGTCTACCAGTTGAATTACATATACCTGGCTATGAATACTGTGGACCCGGTACAAAACTAGCAAAAAGACTCGCACGAGGTGATTTGAGTATCAATCCCCTCGACGCAGCTTGCAAAGAGCACGATATTGCGTACTCGAAGAATCGGGAAAACCTAGAACATAGAGGGGCGGCTGACAGGATACTTGCCAACAAAGCTTGGAAACGTGTCTTCGCGAAGGACGCGAGCATCGGTGAGAAGGCAGCTGCCTGGTCTGTAGCGAACATAATGAATACTAAATCAAAACTCGGTATGGGTATCACGAAAAAGAAGAAGAAGCCTAAGAAGAAGATAACGTTGAGAAAAGTTATCGAAGCAGCCAAACGATCGATGACACAAAGCAGCGATGCACAGGCAGTGATTCAGTCTGCTCTTAAGGGTGCGCAAACAGTTGTCAAGCAGTCTGGTGGAAAGAAGAATATACGTGCACCACGTGTTCTACCCGTACCATCCAAAGTTGGAGGTTTCCTGCCGTTTCTCGTCCCTATGTTTGCGGGTCTGAGCGCTGCTGGAGCGTTAGCAGGAGGTGCAGCAGGTTATAGCCAAAGCCGTGAACGATGCCAAGGCAACCAACGAACAATTGAAGGAAAGCCAGCGACATAATAATGCGATGGAATCCATCACGCTAGACAAAGGACTGTACTTAAAACTATACAAGAAGGGACTGGGCATTCATCTAAAGCCAAAAAACTTGAATTGAAACTACCACGTCGAGCGTTAACTGATGCAGATTTGCTCAAGTACGTCAGGCTCAAGAATATTCCACATTTTCGTAGAATTTTTATGCGGAATGCTATGCCAAAGGGTGGATCGTACAAATACGCATCGGCAATCGTCAATCTCGCCGATGAGGATGGTCCCGGAACACACTGGGTCGCCTATATGAAGAAAAAAGACTCAGTAATTTATATTGACAGTTTCGGTAATCTTAGCCCCCCACTAAATCTCATTAGGTATCTTGACGTTGGTGGTGTAAAATATAATTATGAACGGTATCAGAACTATGATACTTTCAAATGTGGTCACTTGTGTGTCAAGTTCTCATGTGGACAGTTAAATCGTAAGAATAAATATCGTCTATATAAACATGCTGCATAATGTCAAGTCGTTAGTCAAGCGTTTGCAATCATGGAAGATTCATTCACGTTAACTTTATCAAGCAATTCTTCTATACTCGAAGCCCAGTACTTTCCCCCAATTGAACTTTCTCGAGATAAAAATCATGCTCTGGGGCTCGTCGACTTATTAACCTTTAACTTGATTCCTAACGTGGACACTGATCACAACAAGTTCTAAGTGGGCGATGAAGTTATCGTTATACCCATTGGTAGCTACGAGATAGAGGATATCGAGAACTATGTGCAGAGTGCGTTGATAAATAAAAATATCCTAATTAGTATTAAGCCTAACAATAATACCCTGTGCAGCGAAATTAAGTGTAACCGTGAAATCAATTTTCAACCTGATGATTCGATTGGTCGCTTGTTGGGTTTTGTAGCCAATCTCAAGGTGAACGCCTTGCGAGTCGAATGCAACATTAATACAGGCGCTTACATAAACGAACGTAAGGTACATACCATCCAGGAATTCTTTCCGGTTGTACCGCCAGGATATAAGATTATAGAAGTGCCGTCGAACGTCATTTACCTCCCAGTATCGAGCAACACAATAGATCACCTACAGCTTCGAATAGTCGACCAGGACGGATACTTGGTGTATTTTCAAGGAGAAATCATAACGATAAGACTACACGTGAAATCCATGTGATAATGGGGATCGTGTATAACCGAAAGATTGGTAGTGGTTATAATAGCGGCTATAATAATGAACCGATATGTCTAAAAGGAATCAGTCATCGTCCGCGCTGCAAAGCGTTAACACCTCAAAACGTGTTATTCCTGAGAAATCTGGGACTCAAGGTCACACCAGTCGGAAGAGGAAACTAAATCGTTCTTTCTGCTGCTGCTGCATTATTTTTATCCGCTGCTCACCATGGAGGAAGAAACTTTAAGTATTAGAACACCAATCACTTTCGATGAGTCTATAGCGCATTGCGAAAGGCATGCACACCAGCCTTACGCATCGTCAACGTTCAACAACAGTGATAAAATACGAATCTCCGTCCAACAACAAGACTTGTGTTTACTACCGAGTAGAAGTTTGCTGCATGTATACGGAAAGCTCGTGAATGGAGATGGTTCTACGGCGGTTACAAACACAACCTTGGTTAATAACGGCATTTGTCATCTTTTCGATGAGATTCGTTATGAAATGAATGGTATACAGATCGATTGAAATAAGAACGTTGGTCTCACGAGTCTCATGAAGGGCTACCTTTCCCTGACTCATGGTCAACGCTCGGTAATGGATAATGCTGGTTGTATGCAAGGAGAGAAATTGACCGATGCAGCTGGTTACTTTGACGTATCCGTACCACTGAGTATGATACTAGGCTTTGCCGAAGATTATCGCAAGATCGTCGTAAACGCTAAGCATGAGTTGATTTTGACGAGAGCAAAGAGCGATGTCAATGCCATTGTGCAAACTGCTCCGGAAGAATGCAAAGTTGTAATTCAAAAATTGGAATGTTTGATACCGTACGTAAAGGTTTCCGATCGTCGAAAGATAGATCTATTGAAATTTATCGAGAAGGATGCACCCATCCCTATGAGCTTCCGCACCTGCGAACTGTACGAGTATCCTCTACTCCCTACCACATCTAAACACGTGCGGACCGTCAAGACGTCCACTCAACTTGAGAAACCTCGATACGTTATATTAGGATTCCAAACTGGCAAAAAGAATAATAAAAATAAGAATGGCAGTCACTTTGACCATTGCAATGTTAGAGACGTTAAACTCTTCTTGAATTCGCAATGCTACCCCTATGGAAATCTAAACCTTGACATTGATCGAAATCAGTTTGCTCTGCTGTACGAGATGTATGTAAACTTTCAAGCTACTTATTACGGCAAAGAGCCTGAGCCCATCCTGAGAAAGAGTGATTTCCTCGTCTATGGTTCACTAATTGTCATCGATTGCTCTAAGCAAAATGAGTCGCTCAAATTTGGACCAGTCGACGTTCGTCTTGAATTCGAGGCTGACCAAAATTTCCCCACCGAAACATCAGCGTTCTGTTTAATTCTGCATGATTGAATAGTAGAATATAATCCAATTAGTGGTAGGGTGAAAAAATTAGTATAAAAACCCTACGATCATCTCAATGCCAGCAGTCTGTCACAATGGAGTTCATCGTGGACGTACAAGGTTTCAAGAAATCCTCGGACGAGTTTGTCTTGAAGGAGCTGTCTGTGATTGGAGTGAGTAGCGATTTCTCCGAGCCTGCGACGTTTCTGTTTCAACCACCGTATCCATGAAGCTCTCTTCCAGCGAAATACAAGTGCATGAATTTGTGGTTACAACGCAACTTTCATGGTATGTCTTGGAGCTCTGGCGATACATCTTACAACCAAGCCGGAAATATTCTTCGAGTTATTTTACGAGATGCTACCAGAATTTATGTAAAAGATTGGAAAAAACTCGACGAATTGCGACAGTAAACTAATGTAAGAGCACCAAGCTCTTCCTTATATAGAGGGCACTCTTCTTCTTAAGAGTGTGAAGGAATTTTAATTAAGTAAACAATTCATGGATCTACATTTCGGCATTATACAAAGGTTTGCTAATTTCTTTGGCATCAAAGATCCGCCGTCTCGATGCACAATTCCTCTCGAATAAATAGTGCACATTAAATTATTGTAAATAATTTTTCGGTAACGTACAAATGGTAATTTGAAATGTCCTTTGATTTTACCGTCTCCCCAAGGCCACTATATCGTAGCGGAATGATAGTGGTGAAGAAGGCAAAGGAGGAACAGGAGGGTTATGACGATGATGATGAAATGACATCGAAATTCTTCGCTGACATGCGAAGGGTCATTCTTGATCTCCACCGACTCTACATGCTAGTCTGCGGGGAAGTGTAAAGAGTAGGAGCTGCCTCGGGATCGCAAGTACAAAATTCGGTAACGTACAAAAGGTCAATGTACTCAATTACGTCTGATGTAAAATTCCTAAAATCTGCCGTAATATTTCTGAAATCTGCCGTAAAATCCCTGACACCTGACAAAAATCCTTGACACCTGACGTAAAACTAGGGCCCCCTTCCAATGACGTCGGCCGATGAAGGGGTTGGCGCCGTCGACCCCTGCGCGCGCGCAGCGCCCTCTTCAAAGAAAATTCCGGAACCGTCGTCAAGCAGAAATCTTTCATAGGGGGCCCAATCGCCCTAACTTACCATCCACAGGGGGCCCAATCACCCTAACTTACCATACACAGGGGGCGCCAACGTCGCTAACCTAGGGGTCCCCATCGTCGCTAACTTAGCACGGATGAGAACCCACAGGTCGGTAATATGTCGGTGCAGGAACCTTGGTCCAGAACTCTCCTTGTATAACTACTGAAGTGGCATAGGCATCTGTCGCACAGTCTGATACGATGCTGGCGCTTTGAACTTTGAGAACTCAATAAGCGAGACAGATTTCGGATCCAAGCAAAGTGGTAAACATTACAAGTTGTGAAATCTATGTCATCTCCATTCGAATAAATTTCTGTTTCTAGCATAAGTAGGTGAATCCTTTCTTTATCTGATTTTTCTTTACTTAAATAAATTGGTACTATTTCATTAATACCCTTATTCTTATCGCACTCTATTCCATAAATATCTATTGGCAAATCATTCATCCTTTCGAATTTTGGAATATCCTTTAAACCAATGGGAAAATTTAAACCTTCATACTTTAGCACTGAGCTGAAGTGGGGATACGAACTGATCCTGTCTACATGAACATTTGTTAGATAAAGAGCTGCGGTAACGGACTAGAGAAAGCAATATGGATTACTATTTCTAATGTTCACAACTGCTTTTTTATTTCGCACATCCTTTGGTAGTTCGATGAAGGTAGACAGGCCACCATGTATTGGAGTATATTTGTTGATGTTCACGGCCAAGTTTATCATTTCAAGTAATGACCAGCCTGATTCCCTCTCTTAGAAGTCTTTAATTTTAGTCAGTATTTTTTCTTGCACATTTGTGTTGAACCAGTCGCTGATATCGGTGGATGGTAGAATAACTTCATTCTTAGTATTGAAAAACTTTAGTTCTTTCATCTGTCGCACAGTCTGATACGATGCTGGCGCTTTGAACTTTGAGAACTCAATAAGCGAGACAGATTTCGGATCCAAGCAAAGTGGTAAACATTACAAGTTGTGAAATCTATGTCATCTCCATTCGAATAAATTTCTGTTTCTAGCATAAGTAGGTGAATCCTTTCTTTATCTGATTTTTCTTTACTTAAATAAATTGGTACTATTTCATTAATACCCTTATTCTTATCGCACTCTATTCCATAAATATCTATTGGCAAATCATTCATCCTTTCGAATTTTGGAATATCCTTTAAACCAATGGGAAAATTTAAACCTTCATACTTTAGCACTGAGCTGAAGTGGGGATACGAACTGATCCTGTCTACATGAACATTTGTTAGATAAAGAGCTGCGGTAACGGACTAGAGAAAGCAATATGGATTACTATTTCTAATGTTCACAACTGCTTTTTTATTTCGCACATCCTTTGGTAGTTCGATGAAGGTAGACAGGCCACCATGTATTGGAGTATATTTGTTGATGTTCACGGCCAAGTTTATCATTTCAAGTAATGACCAGCCTGATTCCCTCTCTTAGAAGTCTTTAATTTTAGTCAGTATTTTTTCTTGCACATTTGTGTTGAACCAGTCGCTGATATCGGTGGATGGTAGAATAACTTCATTCTTAGTATTGAAAAACTTTAGTTCTTTGACAATCTCACCACCTTTCATAGTCTCGAACTTACAGGACAAAATGACGTTTACTTTCAAATTTCCCTCCTTTCGAAGTGCGTTTTTCATTCTAGCAATGAACAGTTTTCCTGAATCTTCCAAGAAACGGCCCAAGTCCTTGTGTCGCAAGTTTGCAATGACTTCAGTCCTTATTCTTCCCTTAAAGGCAGATTCCAAGTCATCCCAACGCACTCTGTCACTTCTCTCTCTCGCCGTTCCTCCACCTCTTTTTTGAAGTTGTTGTTTAAATTTTTCGTTCAGAGATTTAAGTATTCCAATGGTTGTCAAGATTTTGGTTTTCTCTCCGATCGTAAGAGTAACGTTTCTCAAAATTTTATTCAAAAGTCGAATATTTTGAGTACCAAATTTCGTCCATTTCTCAATTTCTGCAATCGATGACCCCTTCTTTAGAAGTTTATACGCTCTTTCCATAATCTCTATCAACTTTTTACACTTTGCAGAATCCATCTCGTTAATAGCAATATTTAACAAACAATGATCGCTGTGCATCATCGAAGGGTCTTTTATACGACAAATTTCCTGGAATCGATGCTGCTGCTGCCTCCTCGATGCGCAATTCTGCGAGATAACGTTTGACGTCAAAACGGCCGAAGGTTGCCGTTTGAAATCTACACGGATCGGGACGGAGGAAGGGGGTCCATTGAAGCTTCTTGAAGGCTCCCCGGGGTGGGGGGCAAGGGGCTCCATCAAACCGTCGCGCGAGAGGACCGTCGGCTCTGGGGGCGATCCTCGACGACTTAGTACGGACACGAACCGTTGAAGCTTCTAGAAGGTTACAGAAGCTTCTAGAATATTCTAGAAGGTTCTCGATCGTATGCGATTCCTAAAATCGAGCGCGAAATTCTCGGAATATGACGCAAAATTCCCGGAATCGAACGAAAATTCTTGGAATCGAGGGGTCTTGATGACGTCACTTCCGGAAATCGTAGAGCTCACGACGTCAACTTAGCACGGACAACCACCTTCGAAGGTTCTAGAGTGTCGGTATAGGTCGGTTACAGGAATCGTGGTCGAGAACCGGCCGTGTTATACTACTGAAAAATTTTCAACTCAGTTATGAAATGAAAAAATTTCAATCATTAAACTATTGAGACTCACCCCCACCCCTCATTATTCCACCCCACCAAGACTCGCTGTAACGTATCTATTTCTACTCATACATAATGAGGGAAATATTACGTTCGAGATTTAGCCGCTTTTGTACAGATTTCCCATGCTGAGAGAACGCCTTAGCTTGGTGCAGCAACTTCGTGCGGAACATGCAATTTGCATTTGTTTTGAGGTACGCATTCCGAGGTGGCTAAGAGATAATGCAATGCTATTTTTTTTAAGTTGGAAGTATACATGTTCACGTAATCCTGGGATTGGGATAGAAATGCAAAGACACGTATACCCTTTTTTCTTTCCATGAATGTCCACAACAAATTGCAGTTTTTTGGGACTTTTGGTGTCCGAGTTACAAGATATTTGCCAATCCGCAAAATCTTGCGAGGATGCAGATTGGATATAAAATTGACGATGCTGGGCTGGGACACAGTACCACATTCACCATATTCGCATGATATCGCACCATCGGACTGCCATTTGTTTCAGCCTCTGAAGGAGCATTTGACTGGGAAATCGTTCGCGCATTAGGAGGACCACAAATTGGACATTATTAATTTTTTCAAGCGGCAACTGCTAAAGTTCTGGACGAAGAGCATCGGTGACCTGCCCAATCGATAGGTCAATATTATCGATAATTCTAATGCATATGTATATTAATCAAGATCGACCGGGTGCCACTGCACTTGTGTTATTAGCACCCAGGGCCTGAAGAAAATTAATTTTAATTTAAATTTTAAATTTTAATTACAAATTAAAAATTAATTTCTCTTAAATATTGTACGCCAGGTTCTCGCGAGAGAACCGTGGGAGCATAAATTTCAGACAAATTTTAACAAAGGTAAAATCGCCTTTCACCGACTAACCCAGCTCGCGGAGAAAGCGGGGATCTTCAAAACAAGAACAGTTTCCAACAAAAGTAACACATTTGATATCGGTTCAACAATAACGAAATCGGTCTTCATTTCGTGCGTCAATCTTCTGACGCGACCACCCGTCTGCAGACTTTCAGATTCAAACAATTTCAGATATTTACATCAGACCAATAAGATAGCAAGTAAAATAAATAAGTTATTTCATTTTGAACCATGTTATATTAAATAACTCCGAAGAAATTCGCGATATATTTTGCGCAGTCAAAGTAGAGAGACA